GCTACTCAGTGGGTGATATAATTATCTCTAAATAACCATATTTTCCAACACTGAGCTACTGGTAATCAGGGGAGGGCCAAAGAAAAAGCTAGATACCTCAGGCCTGTCCGTTCAGATCCAAGGCCATAGCTTAACCACATCTTCGTACGTGAGATAGCTGGGAGTATGGCTAGACTCTCAGCTCAACTTCAAGCAACACGTCCAGGAATGGTGCGGAAAGGCACAACGTATAACACAGTTTATACGTCGAACAAATTCCGCACAGCGCGGCGCAGCCCCGGGACCTATAATCAAAGTATTACAGGCTTGTGTCCTTAGTACTGCGCTATATGGAGCAGAAGCGTGGTAAAGGAGTAGGCTAGCTCAGCGATCTCCTGACAGCACTATCCTACAAGCAGTTCGAGCGGCGTTACCGGTGTGGCTTACTCCACCAAATACGGCGCTACACATAGAATTGGGCATCCCCCCGTCTGCGGATATCTTACAGCATAGAAAAATGCTACCGGCCGCACGGATTCAAAGGTTGGACGCATGGCATTCGTTAGTTATCGACTTTAAACTTGTTGTCGACTTTGTATATGTACGTCTGTTATCACAGACATAGGAAATAATTCATGAGATTGCTTAATGAGAAACTAGGATTGATCCCGATGTAATATTGAAGGAGACTTGTCCCAACTATCAGAGGGCTACGACGTCTTTATCTATAGGTAAATTCCCCATATTCCAACCACACTAGCCGTACAGGACGTAGCATACAGAACTTGATTCGTATCATTATTTTGGGGATGAGGTTTACCGTGCATATTGCTACTTGAGTCGCATGTCTGACTACTATGCGACACGCTCAGGTATCAATCGATTAACCCACACCAAACCGAAACTATTCACAACCCTAATGATGACCCCATGAATAATTGGAACAATAGCCTGCAACATAGCACAATTAGGCTGAACATTGTTGACCAGGACCTAATCCGAACAGTTAGTATTCAGGTCTAGAGAGGGTCCAAAAGATACAATAAGCCGCCTCGGTCTCCGCATAGGCCAAAAGAACCGGTCATTCAAGTTCCCAGAACGGCACCTCACGCGACTTTAGATCAGCGCCAAAAATGTGCCGATGGCCGAAGGACCCGGCAAATTATACTTCCCAAAAGCTGAGTGCATCAGAAAAATTACTGGCAGTGACTTTCAGGATGAAGCAGCTTACGCTAAGCAATGGATAGCAAGCATGTCGGCCGAGAAGGTTTGCGCTTATTCAGAAGCCTCATCATGTGGGCCGGCTAGGTCGGCATGGGGGAATACCTTATACAAAGGAGGCCAGGTGATTTGGAGTGACTCTGGTCCATTCCTAGGGGCGGAGCTTCACGATGCCGAAATCTTTGGGGCCCAAAAAGCCCTAGAAGGAGCCATAGGAGAAGCAGGCAACTGCCCGACAAAAGTGCTGCTCGACAACACCACAGCCGTGAGAGCTCTAAGAATTGGCCAAACAAAATCTTCCCAGGCTGCAGTAGAAGTATTTACAAGACTGTTGGAAAATATACTCTGTACGATATTATATGGATATATATGATGAAGTAAAGAAGACTTGATATTTTATAACTATGGGAACATTGAACTTATATATACATCTAAGAAAGAAATTCTCACTATTCTCATGTAACTGTCAAACCTAGTAATGACCAGCCACCTCTCATCTACCATGATGAGCCAAGGTACACTGTAGTACGTAAATATCCAAACGTATATGCGACAGTAGGCGCAATTAGCGCACTCGGGACATGTGTAGAGAGAGTTGATCTTGTCGGGAACCTGAGACGAGACAGATAGTGGTTGAGTCCTAAATTCGAGAGTCAGAATTTCCAACAAAGACAGGCACGACAAGCTAGATCAGTTGAGATCCGATGGATACCAGCCCATGCTGGGATCATGGGGAATGAAGATCCAGACAGATCGGCTAAGGAAGCTCTCAGGAACCTACCGGATGAAACGGACATATCTCCCTCAGAAATAAGGGACAGACCTAAATACACTTTCGCAGCCCTCACTCGGTTTGTCAGGCAAAGATATGAAGAAGCAGTGGAATCCTGGTAGCTAGATCACAGACCGAGCCGCTATGAAGAATTGGATCTCCAGATGAAACGAAAACGTCCGCCGGAACTAGCACTTCCAAGGTGGGCGCATCACCGCCTTATTACAGCAAGGACGGGACATGGTGATTTCATAAAATATCATGAAAGATTTGGCCACGAATTTGAAAACTGCGAATGCGTGTGCGGAAGAGAGAAACGCCCTTGGCATTTCGCCGAATGCCGAACTGCTCTACAGCAATGGAGAAACTTGAAGCATGAACCACCACCGAGAGGACGGGAGATGCTGGCAGAAAAGGGTTGAGAAATATTTCTCCACCTCTTATCAGTAACTAAGTGTTACGAGAGGCAAATAACACACCGGGAGGATAAAGTCCTGCCAAAATAGAAAATTTTCAGGACAAAGACTTGTGAGGAAGGGGGAAAGGCGCAGGGCGCTTAATTTTGTTGGAATAAATTTCATTATTTATGTTTTGCGTATAGATTTGACAAGAAAACTATGTTCTTAGGTTATAGTGTATACCGAGGGAGCATAGACCCGTATCACGCCTATTGGGTGTAGAGCGTAAGCTCGGTAAGAAATGAATTCAAATCAAATCAATGGAAGATGCCGTGGTCCGTCTCTTGGTGGTGTTCTCTGGTATAGTTTGAGTAGCCTGGACACCTACTCCACTTGGGAAGTAGATGCCTAAGACCATATTTCGCGCGGAGAAAAGTTGAAAGATGATGGAGGCATGTCTGGATAACTCAGGGTTCATGAGACGTTCCCCTGGGTGGGTATTCACGGATGAGGGTTGACTTGGGGTGAAGAAAAAGCCACCGTAACTTCGCAGTGGTACTTGCAAATGAAATCTGAGGCATGAGTGCTCTTCCTTTACGTTGAATCATCTATTCTGTACTTTTCTTTGATATTGTGTCATACCTAGATAGCTGCAAACGCAATTTAGATCTGATGCAAAAAAAAGGAAGCTCTAAATTTCAAGGGGCCACTGATGACAAGTCATACCTTTTTGTTCCTCACACAGAGGATTATTTCACTTCAATGAGGCAAAAAGCTTACTTTTCATACGAAGCTATTGTCGCGGGATCAATTGATGACGGCAGACACCAGAATAAGCCCGAATTTAAAGTCAGCTAATTATTCTAATCTACAGAAGCGACCCGAATACTTACCTCTTTTTATACGAATTATATTATTATTATGTATTATCCCGTCTCAGTCTATAATTCTGTACTAATTATATCTTTTTCGATATCTTGGTCTTGGGGAACAAGGCATTGACTATCAGCCGTGTCAGACCAGTATCAGAACCCGGTGGAATTAGTATTCCTGAATTAATGTTTCGTGATTCATGTAAATTCCATTCTTCTAACATGATCGTAACATTATTGTCAGAATAATATGCCAAGCTGGTACCTGACATAATTTGTGATTGCCTCAGGAAAACTTGGCGTTTTGGGTAATTTTCAGCTAGAAAATGCTTGGCGTCCGTGTAACAGACGTGGTGGACTGGTATTGAGTCGGTTTAGGATTACATCTTGGCTACAACATGTTTGGATTGTATCCTGTGATGTAAGTAAGCTATTTCTAGATATTATCATCTTACGTCAGGTAGTAGATATGTGTAGATATATAAGCTGAGAGAAAGAGGAAGGAAGACAGACAGACAGACAATTACATCTTTTTATTTCACTTCAATTAAAAGCTCCTGTGCGAGCTATTCTTCCAGATACCTCTAGTCTCAATCATTACAGCTTCCGAACCAGCTCAAAAGGTTCGACAAGCCGTGTCAAAGCTATCCTTGTGATTACCAGCCTCATGTGGTATATGTTGCCTGACTTAGTATTGGTGCATCTAGTACCAACCTCAAGGATTTATCCGTAAAGGCTATTACCCTTTGATGGTATGAGCGAGCTACATAAGAATGCCATGTGGTAAGATACGAAAAATTACAAATTAATAGTTGATATCAAGACATAAACAAGACAGCATAGTGATACAGTCAGTTATTGAACTAATTTAAAATCTACTAAGATTTAAAATTCAGCATTGCAAAACCTCCGATAATACTTGTGTCCAGAACATGAACTTAACTATGTACTTAAATACCAAGTTACTGAATTACAACAGACTGAAGAGTGAGAAACTATCAGCACTGAAACTCCCTAGTATTTTTCTCGAGAGAAAATGAAAAATCACTCTTGCATGGAGCCACCCTGATTGCTTTTCTTTGAGTCGTATGAGTTATTATCCATTTATATACTATTAGTTTTGGCGGAAATAGTTGATGGTAAAATCATAGCAAGATTAATCATACCATCTACATTTTCTGAGCAGAGAATAGCTACGTAGTCTGGATAACCCTTCACATATATTGCTTGCCTATTATGCCCTTATCAATATAGTGTTTGTTACATATCGGACAAGTATTTGCACTACATTGTTTCTCGGGGATTGGTAAATTTACATACATAAATGTCCTGTAATCTCAAAGAGTCCAGTCGATCTAATATCTATAGCCACCCATAATTTTAGGGCTAAAAAATCGTAAATCATAAATTAGTAACTTCTAGGATTGTTAATACATCCTATCAGAGACAATTAATGGCTAGTAGCTCAGACTCGAAAGAGAATTGAGTTCTGATATTTTTCGATTGAACATTTGTAATGCCTGGATATTAATTTAGCGAGCCCATTTATTTTGAGGGGCTTTGTCTTGCATCTGAAGCCCAGACTATTAGGAAATTTTTATACTTAGGTTTCATTAGCTGAAAGCATAAATATATATGAGCCCGTGGTCATCGATAACCTCTATGACCTGAGATTCCAGGGGTGTACCTAATAATATGGTAGATTTTCAGTTATTTGTTTTACAAAAACAACGTTTATTACTAGTTCCATCAAAACTTTCACATCAATGAACATTTATCCTTATGTCTCGTATTTGGTTCGATGTATAGTGACTGTCTTCTGTGTATTTTTTTCGGGGGATTTGCCTCGTAAGGGTCATAGGATAAATCTTTAGAATTCTGGGTTTTTTTGTCTTCCCCACGCAAGCTTGTTGTCCACACTTTTTTGCGAGCAAGTCTCATGCTACCAAACATTCCTTTATCTCTGTAGGATTTTTGAGCTATTACTGGAGACACCGGTGATTCGCTTGTTGCAGTTTCATCGGACACAAAATGAGTATAGTTTGCATCAAAATATTGGGTCATAGGGCGAGTGCCAGAAATTTGCGATTGACTAATGCTTCCAAGATTATGCGCTGAATTGTTTGATGTCTGTCTAAATATTGAGGACCGAAAAGAAAGCCTCGAGGTTGCATTTTTACCATGAGAGGGCTCTCGCTCTGAAGTAGGGCAATTTTTCCCAGTAAATAATTTTGAAGGTACATTTTTTGTATGACAGGACGTGGAATTCAAAGGCATTGTCTGACTCCGTCCAATTGATGGAAGGGGCTGTTGAATAGTACTGCTTGAATGACGGCGAGGATCTATTTTCCTGAATGAATGGTCACTGATCTCCTTTGAAGATGCGACTTTATACTCAGGATTAATCAATGCACCATCAGAACTTGAGGCTATCTCGCTAAATATATTTTGATCATTGTTTGTCTGCATAATTTTCATCGATGACACAGCCATGATCTGCTCTCTTTCTCTGTATGATTGAGCTTGAAGCTTCATTCTATGGGTCTCGTAAGGTGATGTTAAAAGTAATTCGGTTGCGGGACAAGTTTCTCGAACCGATTTAATTCTCGTAGAAGTAGGGGCTGACCTACTTTGAGAAAGATCGTTTTCGACATTTACTTTCAATTGGAAAGCTAAAGATTTACCGTTTGCTGGTGTAGATAGAGATGATAAGGTTTCAGATTGTTCAGAACAAGCATGCGTGATAGTTTCTTTCGAAGATGTACTGTTAGAAGCAGCAGCTACATTTATGGTGGAGGTAATCTGAGGCATACATAAATCTCTAGTAATATAAGGGCATAATCCTTGGTTATTCGGAATTTTATCTGAGAATTTTGTAGATCCTCCATTTGATATAGGACTAGTGACAGGACGCTGCTGCTGCTCATTACCAAGAGCCCATTCGGTAGATTTAACTTCCGAGTTACTCAGTGTTCGATTAAGTGGATTTACCTCACTTCGATACTCGCTTGAGGTTGATAAACTATCTTTGCACGAAAAAAAATGATCATCTGACCCTGTATCTGGAGATTCAAGTCCAGAAATTCCACAAATATTATTTTGTGAGATTGTCGAAGTATTTGACCCCCCAGGTTCTTCTACCATAACATCCTCAGATTCTCTCAGGGATAAATCAGGACTGTAAGGAGGAGGTGGTGGATTCCACACGTCAAGATCAGGTTGGGTTCGATGGTCCTCGTCAGCTGCATAATAGTTTTCTTGTGTGTACTCATTATTCGAAGACTGAGGATTGTGTATGCGATTTATTGCTACAGCAGTGGCAGCACGATGAAGCGTTATTCTGGATCGCGGACTATTGTGTGAGTAGGGAGCATCCAAGGCATCATCTCCGGCAGAAGACATTTCGTTGTGATAAGGAAAGTTTGTGTACCCGCTGATTGGCCTTGGATCGCTGGTTGATGGAACAACTTCTTGCACGCCAGATTCTAACAGCTCATTTGAAAATGAATTATTTTTTGCGTCATTGATTGCTTCCGCATTAAGACCACTGGAATTTTGCTGATTTGGACAAGTCTTCGATAGACATTTGCTACTCTTCACCTCAAGTTCACAACACTCTCCAAAAAGAATATCAGAATCAACTAGATTAAGATCTATAGTTATATCCTCTTTTACTCCATCTCTATGAGAGAAATTAAAATCAAGGATCGTTAAGAGAGCATTTGCAGAAGGTTCACCGTTCTCATTCTCCTTGTCTGGAGCTACTACGACTAGTCTATCAGAGTAGAGAGATGATTGCGAATGAACCCATGTTAAAGCACTGGCATTTTCCACAAAGGCAATATTTTGGCCCTCAACAAAAGTGTTGCGAAACTGATCACATAAAAACTGCCACTGAGGCATTTTACAGGATTGTTCGTGTATCAGAGTTGATGGGCGTATCGAAGTAGCGCTATTAGAGCGCCCAAGTTCTGAATATAATGCTGTAAGGTCGCTTTCCCCATGATTATTTGTACTATCTTTGTGAGTCGAAATATAATCAAGATCTTCTGGAATCCCGTATATCCATATAGACCCCTGGAAACTAGAAGCTACTAACTGCCCGGATTTGTTTACAGCTGGTACCGTAGTCGGTAATAGCTTTTGCTCTGTGGAAGATTTTGCCGTAGGTCCCGTGAAATACGTCGTGCCGTTCCGAAGGTCGTCAAGCCTAACTGCGCGAAATGATTCAAACGCACGGTCATATGTGAATGACCAGTTTGCTTCTTCCTCAGCAGAATTTGGTAATAATATTGCATGGCTACAGTCCCGGCTTACATTAGGAAATAAAATGGAGGTTGTCCATAAAGCACTGATACAGTCTTCTGGCATAGCGGCACCGGGATCATAGTAGGGAGCGGTAAGAATAACTGTGCTTGGAGTTGCTGATGATATAGTTGTTCCGAGCATTTGAGCTCCGCTTCGTGAGAAAGTTAGACTGTCAACTGTTGAACATTTCACTGATCGTCGTTCAGTCGAAAAATTTGTGGGATTAAGTGATGATACCTCGATTCCAGAATCATACGCTGCAGCGATTACACAACCTTTAGGTGAGAGTGCAATTGATCGGGGGGCGTGATCGAGTGTCATGGCTCGAATACGCTTTGGTTTAGATCCCGACAGATTATATATATTTACCTGAAGATCAGTCGATAAGATTGCTAGTGTAGAGCCATCTTCAGTAATAGCAAGTAACTTCGGTTTGTGTAGCACCCTAAACCTTTTTTTTACTTTTACGTCCACACCTGACAAATCAATAATATGAATTCCAAAAGTGTTGTAAGCCACTATGTAGCGACCTTGAGGAGATGAAATCATATGCAGAGAATCACCAGATAGCGCTAGATCTGGATTATCTAACTTAAAAACGAACTTAACTTTAGTTACTCTAGGTCGAAGATAGACTTCAAACAAGTTTCGCTTGGCTTCTTGGGCAAAAGTTCTCCGAAGCATTGGCAGGTTTTTTTCGTCATCTTGTTGTAAAATTAACGCTTGGTTATTTATTGAGAAGGAAAAACACTGAGAAATTTGATGACAATAGAGAGATGCTTTAGACGATACTTGATGCCATCTTTTATTCAAGAGAACTAGGGAAGCAAAGACATTTGGATCAGCTGTTTGAAGTATTCTAGCAAAATATAATTAGCTTATTGAGTCAGAAAGTATTTTCTAAATCCTTACTGAACAATAATTTCCTCAGGAAGCTTCTCAAAAGCCTTTTCCCTATCAGCTATCTCTGGCATGTTAGATTCACTATGTCCGAAATCATACAGCTCTATCTTTCCTAGAGACATGCTGAAATAGAGAGAGCTAGCTTCTGATAAGTTTTTATTTTTCCCCTAAGGTTTAATTTGTTGTTGTGTATTTAGGAAATATGATTACTGGAGACTGGTTGAAGCAGGACCAAAATGCGGTTCGAATTTAAGTAATCAAGCCGAAATTTGGGCTGTATTTGGTGAGTGGTGACTCTATTTGAATTTTTGCTTAGCTGTTAAGTCTTCCAAATTCGTTGAGTTATGGAGGCTGATCTAGCAATAGATTGATCTCGTTCTTTAATGTATCTGTTTTATTATGTTCGATCTCTATGGGGAAATATCTTAGCAACATGACCATATTACTCAATCTACTCCTTTATGACTTGAAGCATTTGAAGGCTGCACGATATATAATTGATTTTCATCATTGATTAATGTAATTTTGTTCATGCACGTAGTCGCAACTTCTCAAGCGCGGGTGCCTGCACTATGGGGATCGTGAAACGGCGCTCACGGTCCCAATAATCGTTGGATTTGTCAGCACATGGATATCACGTTGCCCCACAACTGAATGAGGATCATTGATTTTCAAGGTCTTCGATTGGTTGGCCGTTTTAACATCGGCTTTGTAGATTACCGTTAAAAGGCATCCTAGTTGTATGCCGATCACTGTCAAATTCTTACAATATATTTTCCGAAAATTTTGCGGCTGAGATTCGAACTTTTCTCTAATGTGTGAGGCACCTGATATAAATAAACCTGTTAAGCAAGTCTACTTCATGCTGTGCCGGCGAAGACGAATTCTTCACCTTCCAGTGGTGCCGGTGTAATCGCTCAGTATGTTCTGCATGTCTGGGATAGCCAGGAAGAATCGCACCCAAATCGAAGTGAAAAGCACTCACAAGCACATCTAAAATCGACGACTTCTCGTCAATGTCAGATCTATCATTCTCACGCGAGTCCTCCACCTCAATCTTATTACACCACCTCGCCTCAAATACTGATAATGGCGTCACTCTAATCGCAATCGGGCATTTGCCTCGTCAAAAACCGACCATCTCCCACTACACACTTACGATGCTATGTATACCCGCGAGGAAATTAAGTCATAATCTACAAAGCTCGGGTCTTGATCTATGTGGGACTGTAGCTCTAATGGGGCTTCACATCTTGAGAGAGGATAGGCAGCTGGGACGTGGGACTAACAAGTGAAGAGATCACAAATGTGCATTCTGGGACGCACATTTTTTGAGTGTCTTCGACTTAAGGTTGGCTGTGGGCGCCGAGGCAACGATTTAGGATAGTGCTACCGACACTATAAAAACAGGCAATGACGGCAGGTGTTTTGGTCCGCCTTCTGGTCGTCATCTCCCCGAATTAAAGTCTAGGTAGTCTGGACACCTACCCCAATCAAGAAAAGGAAGACTGTGAGGCCATCTCTCGCGCGGCTGCTATATACAAGATGGCAAAGGCATGTTAGGGTAGCCAGAGGTTTTTCCTGTTTTCCCTTTGGTGGATATTAACGGTTGAGGGAAGGGTGAAAGTCCCTAGCACCAAGGTCTCGAGTGGTATCAGCGAATGCACCCACTATATGAGTAGTCCAAATATCAAACTGAGTTATTTTTGTATATAGTCGTCGGAGAAGCTAGTCTTCTCCGTGTCATGCTCTTTGAGTGCAGGGCTTGTGCCCGTCACGAATAAACTTTCATTCATTCATTCATTCATTCTACTCCATGCTGTAAAGGATCTAATTTCAAAATCTCCACAGCTTTTAGAAAATAATTGTCAAGTATAAATACTACACCTGTTGAAAGCTATCGAGGAAAATTAATAAATAACCATCAATGTTTGAAATTAACAATCAATCCACTAGCTTTTATCTAGAGGCATGTGTATTCTCAATCACAGGCTGGCCTGCTATAATTGTACTCCCCGCTGCTCAGGGATACGATACTGCCACCTACTGATATAAGGTTTATTTTTTTTAAAAGTGGTCCTAAATCTTTACTGGGCCTCTGGTGAAAGTTTTGCAGGTAAAGATATTACAGCATGTTAAGGGTAAAAATAATGTCGACACTCACATAATTGAACGGTTTGTGTCTTGCAACCCATAGTTGAGGAATTCAGCGCCTAACTGTTTCTATATTATAAACAAAATGATTGAAAAAATATTGCAGATAAAAACTAACTTACACAATTTTATGCTTCGTGGCCACTTAGATAATGAATAAACTTGAACTTATTGTCGAAACTTAATAAGTTACTAAATTTTGAAGGCAGGAGAGGATAATTCGGAACGGCCCGCGGCCGGTTAATTCAACCAACTTCCCGTCATGCTGGACCTAGTTGTCACACCCCACGGTCTATATCTCTTTTTATCTTTCCAAATTTCTAGGACCTGGTCCTTGTGAGTAAAAATTTTACTATAAAATGTATTTTTCTACAAAGATCGCCGAGCTGATCAAAACCTGTAAGAAAAATTTTACCCATATACGTTACAATTAAAAAGTTGATTTGTGTGGTAATTTACACAATTGATCACAATTTAGCCTTACTAGCTCTTACCAGCTAAGTGCATGCTTTTTTTAAATAATCATTTAATGTGTATGCAGCTATAAAGCTATGACATATAACACATGACACATAACCGGTGCTATGTATGCATGTAGAATGACTGTTTTGATGTTAGAGTCACTGATTCTATGGATTTGATTTACATATACCACCGAGAGGTATGCTTGCTTAAACAGACAGTCGACCCTCCTCCATGAGTACCCACCAAAGGGAATTTCAAAACCTTTGGTTATCCAAGCATACCTTTGTCATCCATGCATACTAGCGCCGCGAGAAAAGTGATTGTGTTCTGCCAGATTTAAACCAGCAATCTCCTGTCTCGAGTGGGATTTGTGTCCAAACTATCTAGACTCTACTTGAAAGACCGGCCAAGATGATGTACCACTGCACCATCTAGCCATGGCGGTATTTGTAATATTGCCTGCAACTTTGCAACCGAAGCCTTGGCACACAGAAACTCAATTTGTAAAAACTCCTTGCCGAAGTTCGAATTTCCACGCCTGTCGAGACTTTATCCATCCGCCGCATCATCTTGTGAACTTGTCCTAAATTCTCTCACATTCTTCTCAAAGAATTATCTACAAAATTTGTACGAGACGCTTTATTTCCCCCAGTGGGTATAAATATTGGTATAGGCTTATATTTGGTGACCGGCTGAGGCCAGAGAAAGTCGATGAGAGGTGTGATCATTGGAATAAGGATGTACTAGGTCGTACTTGTAAACTTGATGAGGTTTCTGTGGAGAACGAATTTGTTGGGTGGGAGAGTTTGATTTGGTAGAGAGTCTTAGATCATTGCCTCGTGGGCCAACTTCTTCGGAACTGCGATATTTGAAAGAATTTGGCTCTGGAAGAATATTCCACTCCCAGGTTCGTGGAGGACACCGCGTACAGGCGATCATTCTTTGCCCTCCATACTGCATCCTCGTGGGACAGAAGAAGGCTGATTCAATCGAGCACAGTCCATGCGCCATCCTCTCGCGATGGTATCACGTTGAGTTTTGCTATGTTCTGTTTATGGTGCTACTTGAGTCATAGACTATCAAGCACATAGGACCTTTTGTTGTGATCTAGGAATAGCTCAGAATTGTTTATGCATACCTGCATAAACGTTATGCTATGGCGCATAATAAGGATGTTATTGTAGACTGCTGGACAAACAGGAATAGCCGCGCTATGATTGGTGGGATTAGTATCGTGTGAACCTGCAAGGGTGATGGGAGAGTAATTTAGATGTGGTTCGAAGTACATTGAGTCGGCAGCACACAACCATCTTCTGTCTGTACATCTTTCTATCTTTCAGCACACAATAAAGTGCGTAGCATCTTTTCTAGTACCTTCAATCAACTATCTACAAGCGCAGTATTTATAGACCATACTCCATTTATATACGAGTAGCAGAGTCAGAATTGAACCCCTAGGTAACCTCATATTACAATACTTACCTCTTGCCCAAGGCACACCTTATACAGTGCTCCTATCCAGTTTTGTAACTTGAGAGATCATTGATATATTGCCCGTGATGGATAGTTATCCAGCTCAGTATTTACCCGTGGAATTAAGCCACCTTCGCCACGGAACCTTCGACCCAAAAAAAACAAAAATAGTAGCAATGGAAACTGCGTGCGCGGGTAAAAGTCTCGAATAATCTGCAGCCCAAGCCAGGCGAAGCCTAGACACAGGGACCACATGAGGTGCGCATATACATCTATATCTCCCTTCTTTGTAAGAGTCGAGGCCGACTTGATCTAATCCGCCATCTCCGTATCGGGCGCTGGGTACCCTACTGGAATTCATCAGATGGATTTTCCTTCGTGACCAAGGGTTGGTGTTGAGTAAGGCTTCGACCCAACCATATGATGTCGAAACTATGGAGTACAGAGATAGGTTAGGTGATGGTTAATGGCAGTTATTGATGAAGGGTTTGCTTGTTGACTTTCCGATTATTTCTGTGTTGGGATACACTTCGTCGATCCTACTAGGCTCGATAATTAGTAGTCCCGACTTAGTGGTGTTTGGCGAACGGGGATTGCGTAAGCCATGTCTTAGCCTTGTTTACTGCTGTTAATAGGAGATCCCGCACGGGCTATCTATTGGGATTAAAAGAAGTTTAACTTTGTGAAACTGGGTTATGAGTGGATAGAGATATACCTGTACTATTGGTTGAACAAGCTGGTGTGCTGTTGGGGTCTATCTGTAGGTGAGTTGAGACTGTAGTAGATGAGAATTGAGAATGGTTGATTGATGATACTACTTGCAGAGTTATTACTGTTATGTACATGACTCCCTCGCTTGTCCTCAATCTACATGACCACATCAGTCCACCTCTAATTCCGACGGAGAGTTTCTTGATTCATCAATATCCCTCATTAATTATGTGCCACTACAGGGGGGCTATTCTCAACACCTGTCAGTGGCATCCCCTAAGAGCCTCCAGCTCTCACTGTAGAGTCAGCAGAGCCGAGGTAGAGTAACAAAGTCCTCATTTCGATAAGGATTCCCAATCGCTCTCGCGGTCTGTATCGTCTTCATTTCTCAACACATTCCCCTATCACCATTATCATGAAGCTAACCACGATCAGATCAGATGGTAGGGTCGGAGCCCTACTCATCACCAACCCTTGATCATGGAGGAGATGCCATCCGAAGAGTTTCCGGAGCGTACCCAGCACCTGATACGGAGATGGTGGATTGGATCAAGTCGGCCTCGACTGTTACAAAGAAGGGAGATATAGATGTATATGCGCACCTCATGTGGTCCCTGTGTCTAGGCTTCGCCTGGCTTGGGCTGCAGATTATTCGAGACTTTTACCCGCGCACGCAGTTTCCATTGCTACTATTTCTGTTTTTTTGGGTCGAAGGTTCCGTGGAAAAGGCGGCTGAATTCCACGGTAAATACTGAGCTGAATGGCTATTCAAGGGGGATATATCAATGATCCTTCAAGTAACAAAAGAGGATAGGAGTACTGTACAAAGTGTGGCCTGGGTCAGAGAGGAGCCCAATGTGCTAGACAGTCATAGACTCAAGTAGTACAATAAACACACACTACTACTACTACTATATGCCACTACATCCTAGACGTATATTCATGACACAAAACCCCGGAGATACTATGTTCCCTAGTGGTGGCTCCTTGACTCAGTTGCATCACCCACTGACCATGTATCAATCGAGTAAAGATGAATACTCATGACATGATACTTTTGATACGAGGCACTCCTTGGCAATGGCTCCTTGACTCCGTTGTTACTCAATCTCGACTCGACAAAGTCTTCAGTGAGAGCTGAAGGTTCGTAGGGAACATCACTGACAGGTGTTGAGAATAGTCCCCCACGACACTCTTACATTTTGAGGTGTCGCTTACCTTTAGTGGCCTCCCTTGGCCAACCCGTGAAAGTATTAGCTTTCTGAGTATTATGGGCGAGAAAATTCGCGTGTATCCCTGCGTTCTTGGCATAACTCAATGACTACATAGCATGATGCATTCGTAGACCTACCCCAAAACTTCAAGGTACGTCGTAAATGGTATAGCAATGCATCAGTATATTTAAGATCATTGAAGGATAAACCTTCATTATTATGATCTTCTTAAATTAACGACAGGTCTAACAAAAATCTAAAAGTCGTATGGTTTCACCCATTGATTCACGATTAGAGGCCTGGATAACTCTAGTTTTACATTTTGTTATGTGTAGTTTGTCGAGTATTCAGCTGACAGTAGTGAGGTCTTATATTTATTTTTTCAAATACTGGTGTTATCAACTTTCAAACTAGATTTTGGTTCCCGTATGTATAGTATCTGTTCGCCCGAAATGAAAATGTTTAATTACAGTGTTTATAACAATTACCGAAGCACAAAGCCTAAGAATCTGAGGTGGGTTTGAATTGAAAACGCTCTGAGCCCTCAGGGAATGGGACTCCTAATTCGAAAAGTTTTAAAATAACATTTGAAAAGTCATGAAAGAACAATTGATTGTCATCAGCATACTTTTTGACCCATGACTTGAAGTCTTTGTCGCCAATTAATGAATAGTCAGTAGGAAGCATCATCAACGTTTTTGTTGTTTTGTCTTCCAGCTTTAAATTTGTTAGCTTCAGCCTAAATCAAATCTCTGAGTATCTTACTTGTTTTGGGCCATCCCATTTTCTCCATGACCACTTCTCATTAAGCAGTAGGCGGTAGTATTCGTTGGTAAGAACAGTCGGGGAAAATGTCCATGGACCGTCGAAGCCAGAGCGAGTGGTATGGCACCGACCTAGCGCATGTGCACCACTCAAAGCGACAATCTCTTGATCGTTGAAGCCCATACGCCCAAATATATCACGGAGATGTTTCTTTCCCTGAGTTGCATCCGGCAGACGACCGTCAGGCGTGCATGCACTTAGATCTTTGTCGCTTCGACCGGGTCGCCATGGTATGATGGGACCTTGCATCTCTTGAATCGCAACAACCCCTGCAAGAATCCATAGGTCGGAATAACTAATCCATGGAAATTTTTCTGAGTAGGTTATTAATGATAGGAGATGAAATGAGGTATTGAGCTTTGTTACAAACCTTTTACCGGCTCGAGAAAATTCCGCGCTGCTTCTAAACCAGCGTTTGCACCATGATCTTTCTCGGGAGAGAACCTCATAGTAGCGCCATTGGATCCTCCTGTACCGGTTTCCTTATCGTATGTACCAGACGCATGCCATGCTAGCCTAACTAACACAGGCCCGTAGCTTCCATCATCATAGTCATCAAAATTCACGAGCCTGTCAGCAATTTCATTGTAAACTTTTTGATAGTCATCATATTTAGGGGATATCACAATGTCTTTGTCTGGGGTTCCAGGTAGAAGAGTTCCATGGTTTGCAAACAGATAGCCAGTTCCAGCGAGGGCAAGAGTGGCGGCTCCAATCCCTATGTAGAGACTTGTTCCAGAGGTTTTTGTTGCTGATGCATAGGTGCGCTTTGAATTTTGATACAAATTGGGTCGTCTAGAAAGAAGAGAGGATCGCGCCGTTGTTTGCCAAGCAGAAACTGAAGGTCTAAAGGAGTTCGCACGTGTGAGAATACGAGAAGAAGAAGCCATTCTGTGAGAGCAGTTTGTATAATAGACTATCTATACCTCAATGAATTAATATATAGTAGTGCACATAAAATGGGGACACTGTAAATTTCATGGGTTCATCATGAGTCATCGAGGGAAAAGGAAGCTACTAGAAGCACGTTAGCCTAGCAGATGGTTATGCACTCCTGTTCAAGCTAAGCCTTATAGTGTCATGGTATGCCGTCAGGGCTAGCGAAGTTTGTAGTGAACAATGATAGGGTCATATACATTAAACGAGTTTAAACCGCCTACTCAAGAACTAGTTTCTCACAGATTTCTTCAATGACTCAACTAATCAACTTGCGTCTATTCTCCTTCCACAGGATACGGAACATACTCTCCGCGACTAAAAATGCGATGTGTCAGTGATTTTACATGCCACGAACCGAATCCACAAACATGTCAGCAATACTGGGCGTGGACAGCAATCAGCTGCCACACTAACTCGCACCACTTCGAAAATTTCCGCTGCAATATCCAGTATTGTAGTGATATGGGGTCCGCTGGCTGACAGACCCATCTGCGTTCTCCCAACGCCGTTATAAACTTGGAAGTGGGCCGTGTAAGGGAGACTTCTCAGACAGATAATATCACCGAGTAGGAGTTAAAATAAATAAGTAGCTTAAATTGGCAGATAGTCTCCAACAGGTAGCCATGATAAAAGAACATCGTACACCTAACCTCATCAGCAGCAAAGCGACTAGTTATACTTTGGACAGTCAAGGGTACGCATGATAATGTTGGGCTCAACATTGTAAGGAAATAGCACTAAGAGACTGGCTCGACCACCGCAGTGCAGAATACATTATTCTTCTTTTTTAGCATCAGATCTTAATTGCGTATGCAGCTATCTAGATATGACACAATATCAAAGAAAAGTACAGAATAGATGATTCAACGTAAAGGAAGAGCACTCATGCCTCAGATTTCATTTGCAAGTACCACTGCGAAGTTATGGTAGCATTTCCTTCACCCCCGTCAGACCAGGATCAGAGCCTGATGGAATCAGTATTCTTGACTTGATGCTTTCGTGATTCATGTAAATTCCATTCTTCTAACATGATCGTAAGTTTATTGTCAGAATAACATGCCAAGCTGGTACCTAACATAATTTGTGATCGCTTCAGGAAAATCTTGGCATTTTGGGTAATTTTCAGCTAGAAAATACTAGGCGTCCGTGTAACACACGTGGTGGACTGGTGATGATGATGATGATGATGATTATATTTATCGTGCCAGGCTTACACCCTCCATCCAATGGACATGACACTTATGGAGGACATCTAGGATACAAGTTCCTCCATTCTCCAGCAAAGCCCATCCGGTGCCTGACTTTTCCAAATACGTGCCTCACGTTAGTTACATCGGGTCGAATAGGTAGGAACGCATTCACCATGATCCTAAGACCATGTATTGAGGGAAAACCTTCGTGGGAAAACTTCAATAATTCCTCCTGTAATCTTTCACGACGAGCAGACGTAGTCCCCCCTTAAACAGGCCGTGTAGGAATCCAACCTACCACTTCTAGAAAGCACGTCTAGCACCTGACCAACTGTGCCAACAGCCTGTTGAAAATCACATATCGTTCTTCCCAAATTCTCCCCTGCAATGCGCTCAACCCCCATTGGAGAGGGCTGAAATTCCGAAATCGAGAGCTCAAAACCGAGGCATCTATGCCCCAGCTTTTGTCGTACATTGTTCGTTGTCTGAGTGAGGCTTCTTCGTTCGCGCCGTCCTTAGAATGTGTCGAAAGGTTGAGAATGTTGATGTCGCGGTCGAGGTGCTTGTCTAGAATGAGGCCGAGTAATTGCCCAATCCTGCACACAATGTTAGTAAGGTTGAAAGCGAAAGGAATATTACCTTTGATTTTGGAGGGTTATTGGTGAGTCGTAAAGTCCTCCCAGTGAAACTCAATCGGGAAGTTGTTAGAAGACTGAATAGAAGAGACCCAAACTTAAACTTTCGATCTATCGTGCTGGGAACGGAACCTAGCCCAGGTGTCAATCGAAATCGACTGGGCCGCGCTCAGCAAGCTGCCGTTGCGAAGGATGCGATTCTTCTTGGCTATCCCAGATATGCAAAGCATACTGAGTGATTACACCGGCACCACTGGAAGGTGAATAATTCGACTTTGCCGGCGTGAACTGGTGATGATGATAATGATATTTTTATCGTGACCAGGTACTACCCCAGCACCCAAAGGGCATGGCACGGGTAGTCCAGATCTAATTATGACTCTTCGCTACCTACATCATTGTTTCGTAGAAACTTGAACACACAAAACTAAAACAAATAAAAACACTATTTCTAGTGTGCTTGCGCCCTACGCTACACCTTCATTCTCGTACTACACCGAACGGTCCCAAGAAGCATTACAGTTGACCTTTACATCGCCTGTTCACGATTCAATCTTGCTGTAACACTTAATTACAGTTAAAAAACGCCAGAATTTCTGCCATCCTTCCTGCCCTATCATATCCCTGATCGTAGGACGTAGTTCCTTCGTTTCCGTCCTCCATTTCTGGATAGTCGGGCGACACTCTGCAAAATGCCATGGCCGCTTTTCTCGGCCACAATTGCAAAGCATTTCTTCATTCTGGTGGTGGAACCGTCTATGATAGCTGGCGAAGTCACCATGCACGGTCCTTGCTGCGATGAGGCGGTGATATTGTTGTATTTAGATAGTTGTATATATAAAAGGTCTTACTTCTTCTAAGTCTCCTGAGCAGCAAAGATATACAAAAGTCCGTGCATGATGAGTATCACGTGGTTATCTTGGCTAATACTTGCCAATCACAACAGATATGTCCATCGAGGTAGAGCTAGCTCCAGAGGGCGCTTTCTTCGCATCAGTAGGTCCAGATCTTCATACCTACTCGATCTGTTCTTAAGCCACCATTCTTCCGCAAGTTTTTGTACCCGGATGTTGACGTGGCGTTTGAGAGCTATAAAAGTCAGAGCTTCGTGGCTTTCCTCCAAGATGCACTCTGGTCCCGGTATGTTCCCATCCCGATTATTTGACGCAAGGAATGCCTTTGCCATCGCATCGGCCTTTTCGATTCCTGGAATGCCGCTATGTCCTGGAACCCAGTAGACCTCTATCGCTGGTCGAATCTTGCGTAGTTCCCAGAAATTCATAACCTCTACTTGCGAGGAATTTGTTTTGCCATTTTGAAGGGCTCTGACCGCCTCTGGATTGTCAAGGAGTACCTTGATATATGTGCTGCCACCAATTTCTAACGCTGCCTCTAGGCCTCGTACTGCCCCGGTGATTTCCGCATCAAAGACCTCAGCTCCAGGAAGGAACTTTCCACCGCTCGCTATAAGTTCACCGCCCCTATATATGGCATCACCATAGGCTGAGTATGCTGGGACGGTCGATGACTCATCCGAGTAGACACAGAGTGTTCCTAGGGGAAGATCCCTGAGCCAAAACATGATCTGCTTCGCCTTTTCCTCCTTGTCGCATTCGGCCCTAGCAGTAGCCATCGCTGTCTTTGGTTGGTAAAGCTACCCAGGCCCTTCTGATGCTGGCAGGCTGAGGTTCCCATTCTGAAGGCGTGTTAAATATCGCTGTGGAACCTTAAAGACACGTTCTTTCTGCCACTCTCGTAGTTGGAGTCGCTTGATTGCCTCCTTGGGTGTCTCAGCTGCCCTTGACGATAGTGGATGATAACTGTCGAGTCGGCGAATTCTTGCCGCACTTCGGAGCTGTGGCTGCTGAAGCATTATTTCTGCAGGTAAGATCCCTGATTCCCGGTGCAGGACTATGTTTGGTGTAGTTCGCCATACTGGTAGTGCAGCTCGAATTGCGGTCAAAATAGTCCTATCTAGTAACTTGAGGTGCCATCCGACACCCGTACTTACTTTCTTGTCTCGTACCGTCGTGATAAGGGTGAGTCCAGGCCACCAGGCTTCAGCGCCATACACTGTCGTACTAACTAAACATGCATTCACCGCACGTATTAATGGTCCCGGAGCCGCACCTCGTTGGACTCTATTTACGCTACGCATGAAGTGGGATAGTCGCTGTGCCTTGCTACACCATTCCTGAGCATGCTGTCTGAATGTTAGTTGGGAGTCGAGCCAAAATCCAAGCCATCAAATATGCGGAGAAGGCGTAATGAGCTGTTCCCCAACTCTAACCGTTAGGTTTGATGAGTCTAGTTTCTTCTTTGTTCCACCCCCAATGATCAGGAGCTCAGACTTTGAAGGGTCGAATCTAATCATGTGTAACGAAGCTAGTTGGACTATCCTGTCTACCTCGACCTGGACAGCCTCAACAGCTTCGCTAGGACTTTTACCGACTCGAACAATGGCGATGTCATCTACATATCCGAATCTACAGTTTGGAGAGCCATCCTCGAGTAGGATCGAGATGTATAACATGAATAGAAGTGGCGAGAGTGGTGATCCTTGAGGGACACCGCACTCAACAAGCTTCTCATCTGTTACGCCTTCTTCATGTCTTACCAAGACTGTTCGTCTTTTCAGAAACGATTCTACCCAGCGACAGAGTGATAGCGGTCAGCCCTGACTTCGCATTCGTGCGAGCAGCCTATTGTGTAGCACTGCATCGAAGGCACCTTGAATGTCCAGCGTGACCATAGCTGTGACTTTGTTGGATCTCATTGCAGCTTCTGCATCGTGTGTGACACACAATACCAGGTCGACTGCCGAGCGTCCCGGTAGCGCGCCAAATAGTTGAGAAGTTACTGCCTTGTACTTTAACGCAAGCCAGGACATCTGTTTAGCTATTAGTCTTTCCAGTCCCTTTCCTAAGCTGGAGAGTAACGATATGGGTCGTCATCCTTTTGGGCTGGAGAGATCGGGTCCAATTTTAGGAAGTAGTACAACTTCCGCCACCTTGAAAGGTGTTGGAAAATATTCCAAGTTCAGACATGCCTGAAAGAGGTCCCTGACATATGTTCCAATCGAGCTCCAGCAAGTCTTGAGTAGTCGGACGGTGATTTTATCATATC